AGTACTGTAATTTTCATTGAATAGCTCTTTTACTTCTTTCATTAGATTAATTCCTGGGTATTTCATTTGGGGGGTGTGCAATTTTAAAGGGTATTGTTTCTCTAATTTCTCTCTTAATGTGTTTGTCATCTGTGTAGAGGATATTGATTTTTGAGTACTGACTTTGTAACCTGATATGCTACTGAATTTGTTTATTAATTCTAGGAGCTTCTCGGTGTTTTTTGGGGTCTTCCAAGTAAAGTATCATGTCATCTGCAAATAATGATAGTTTAACTTCTTCTTTGTCTACTCTTATTCCTTTTCTTTCTTTTGTCTAATGGCTCTAGCTAATGATTTTCCAGAACTATATTGAATGAGGGGTGATAGAGGACATTCTTTTCTTGTACCTGATTTGAGAGTAAGATTTCAGTTTTTCCCATTTAGAATTACGTTGGTTATTGGATTGTCATGGATGGCTTTTATCAGATTGAGGTAGAAGCCAACTATTCCAATTTTCTATAGGGTGAATGAGCACTGGACTTTTGTCAAAAGACTTTTCTGCATCAATTGAGATAATCATGTGGTTTTTGCATTTGGATCTATTGATATAGTGTATTACATTTATAGATTTGCATATATTGAACCATCCTTGCATCCATGGGATGAATCCTACTGGGTCATGGCTTATAATCTTCTCAATGATTTGCTATATTCTATTTGCTAGGATTTTATTGAGGAGTTTTGTATCTATGTTCATGAGGGATATTGGCCTATAGTTCTCTTTTTTGGTTGAATCTTTAATTTTGGTATCAGTATAAAACTCGCCTCCACCAGGAACAATTTTTGGAAGATTGCTTCCCTTTTGATTTCATTGAAGTGCTTGAGAAGTATTGGGATTATATCTTGTATAAATTTCTTGTAGCATTCAGCTCTAAATCCATCAGGACTTGGACTTTTCTTTGTCATTAAGTTTTTGCTTACAGTTTCAATGTCATTAGCTGATACTGAGTTATTGAGAGTTCTTATATCTTCTTGCTCTGTTTTGGTAATTTGTACCTTTCTAGAAATCTGTCCATTTATTCTGTGTCTCCTATTCTGTGAGAGTAAAGATTCTCAAACTAGCTATTGATGATCTTCTGAACTTCCATTGGGTCTGTGGTAATTATACCCTTTTCATTCCTTATTGCTTGTATTTCAATTTTTTTCCCTCTTTTTGATGAGGTTAGCTAGGGGCTTATCAATTTTATTTAATCTTTCAAGGAACCAGCTTTCTTTTCTTTTCTCTGTATTGTTTTCTTTGTCTCAATTTCATTAATTTCTGCTCCAATCTTCATGATTTCTTCCCATCTTTGGGCTTTGAGTTTGGTTTGCTCTTCTTTTTCTAGACACTTGAAGTGCAGCATTAGGGTATTTATTTGTTCCTATTCTGTTTTCCTACTGTGTGAGTTAACACATATAAATTTCCCCTTAAGAACTGCTTTCATTGCAGCCCACAAATTCTGTAAATTGTACTTTAATTTATTGTAGGTATAGTTCAATTTCTTGTTTAATTTCATCTGTAACCCATTGGTTGCTGAGAAGGGTGCTATTTAATTTCCAAATGTTTATGAGGATTGTGTGGTTTCATTTGTCATTTATTTCCAGTTTCATTGCACTCTGGTCAGATAATATGCATGGGATAATTTCTGTTTTCTTGCATACACTTAAGCATGACCTATGGACTACTAAATGATCTGTTTTAGAAAACCCATGAGTAGCTGCGTAGAATGTGTATTCAGATGTGGTTGGGTGGAACACTCTGTATATGTCCACTAAGGGCCCAGGGACATAGCTCAGTATAGTAAGCACTTGCCTGGCAAGCACAGGGTCCTGAGTTCAATCCCCGGTTCTGTAAAAAAATAAAATAAAATAATGTATATGTCCGCTAAGTCCATGTGTTCAAAGGTCTGGTTCGGTTCTGCTACTTCTTTGCCAATTTTTTGTCCGTTTGACCTATCTTTTTGAGATAAGGTGCTATCAAGTTCTCCTGTTAAGATTATGGTATTGGATATTACTTTTTCATGTCCATTAAGATTTGTTTTATATAGTTGGATGCTCCCATATTTGGTGCATCATATTTATGACTGTTAATCTCTTGCACTTGTTTATTTCCCCTAACCAATATGTAATGGCCTTCTTTATTTCATATGATCATTCTTGGTTTAAAGTTCAGACTGTTTGAGAACAGGATTCCTACTACTGCTTATTTCTGAGAATCTGTGGCATGTAGTATTGTTTTCCATCCTTTGGCTTTTAGCCTATGAATTTCCTTATGAGTTAACTGTGTTCCTTGTATACAGCATATTGTTGGATTTTGTTTTGTAATCCACTATGCAGGCCTATTTCTTTAATTGGTGAACTGAATCCATTTATATTGATGGTTGTATCTGAGATGTATTGACTATGTTTGGCATGTTATTTTCCTGCTGTTGGTTATCTATTTTTCTTCTGTGGGTTTTTTCTGTTCTCATTCATGGAGTTTTGGTCATTTTGAACTCTCTCTAGAATATCTTTTAGTTGTCTGGGTAGGGTTGGTTTGGTTGTCTTGAATTTCTTTAGTTGTTCTTTGTCATGGAAGCATTTCACTTCTCCATTAAACTTGAAAGAGAGTTTTATAGGGTATATCAATCTGAGTTAGAATTCGTTTTCTTGCAAGACTTGAAGTACTTTACTCCATGCTCCTCTTGACTTGATGGTTTGTGGAGAGAAATCAGCCATTATTCTGATGGGTTTTTCTTTAAATGTGATTTGTTTCTTTTCTCTAGTGGCTTTCAGTATACTGTTGTTGTGCTGAATTTCTAAGATCTTGGTTATTATGTATCTAGGTGTGGTTTTTAATTGGGTTGATGTTATTTGGAGTTCTGTATGTCCCAGTAACTGAATGTCAGATTGTTTCCCTATATTTGGGAAGTTTTCTGCTATTATGTCTGCCCATATTCTTTTTTTAATGTATTTATTACAGGGTCTACAGGGTCTCACTACACAGACTGGAATCATAGTCCTTCTCCTGTTTTCAGCCTCACTCCCTGTCTCAGTCCCTGTCTCAGTATGCCCCGGGGGCAGGGTCAGCATGGTATGTTGGGGATCAAACCGATGCCCATATTCTTTTTATATCGTTTGTATTGATTCCTTCTTTCTCACTGATGCCTATTAGTCTCATGTTGTTCATCTTTGCATCATCTTGCAGCTGCTGAATTATTTTGTAGATCCCAGTTGTTTTTAAGAGATCTTTCCTTATCTTTTCACTAGGTGCAACAGTATCTTCAAGGTCTGAAAAATCTATGTTGACTTGGATTCAGACAATTCTGTCAACTTTCAACTGAATTTTTTATCTCTTGAATATATCTTTGAATCTGCTTCATGCATTGTTTCTTTCCTTTATTGCTCATTCAAGGTTTCCATCATTTTATTCTCTACTTTTTTATTACTGTCCTCTTTAGAAGCACTTAGTAATTCTTTCATTATAGCTATCATTTCTTTATGTTATTATTTCTGATCTTATTTCCTCTATACCTTTCTACAGCTGTTTCTTTACTTCAGACACTATTATTTCAGAGATTCCAGGTGTGTGACTTCCAATTTCATCTATGCTAGTGTCTATTGTATTTGTTCTTGGTGAGTTCAGTGCCTGAAAATGCAATTTGCTCCTTCTCTTTGTTATTTTATATTTCAGAGAAAACTTTATTTTGATCTCTGTAATTTTTTTGTGAAAGTTTGATAGTAGTTAGCTATGTCACTGTGACCAGAGCCTCTCTGTATAGAGTCTGTTCATTACGATTCCTTCTGTGCCAAAGAGTCCTCTTTTTTATGTATCCCAAGGATTTTCCCTCTCGATTGAGAGTGAGATATTGGTTTCTGTTTGGCACTAACTTCTGACCTATGGTCTACAGTTTTGGTCCAGTTATTACCCAACACCTTCTGATATTATTGACCAAGAGAGATCACATGGTTAAGGCAGATAAAGCATATCTTTTACTTACAGTATTACAATTAGCAACACTAATAATGGGTAGTGAGATTTAGCAATTGACAAACTTTTGTAATTAATGGGTTTGTATTTTAAACCTTAAGAGTAAACATTATGACTCTATAGCTAAGCAAATAGTAAGGTGGGAATTTATATTTAAATTAGTTACCCTAAGTTCTGTCTGGTCACCTCCCCTTGATGTGCCTTGAGCCTTCCAAGCAGGATAGTTCACCTCAGTTACCTGTTGCCACCTCTCTCTCGAGAGAGAATGCTCTCATATCCAGTATACTGGATCTGGATCTACCAAGTTTGAACTCGTCCAGCTGGGCCTGGCATGGGTCTGGCTGCTGTGCTTGACTTCTTCCTGCTGCAGCCCATGGACGTGAACCACTGTACTTCACTGACTTGATGTTGTGCTCCTGGTTTAGCTGGCTGGGTTTTACCCCTAACCTCTCCGCAGGGAGTTCTGCCGCAGGGTCCCACACTGGGTTTGTCCACTGGGGGTTCTTGTCATATGGGTAGCCAGTCCCATATGCCAGACCTGTCTGTTCTAGATCCAGTTTTTAGATTGTGTCTTCTTTTCTATATTCCACTTGGTACCAAATTACATGATATATGTTATGCCCTTCATTTAGTTGGGTCTTTAATAATATGAACTAGCTTATATAACATAATACCAGTGACACATGATGAGGAAGATAACGGCAGCAGCATTTATTGTGCCTTCTCTCTCTGACCACCTCAACCTGTCCTCTTGTTCCCTACAAGTCTCATCCTCCAGAAAACTCCCAACCTCTAATCTCCTAGTTGAACTAATTTATCTTTTCATGGATGTGATTTACCTCAAATGGACCACAAATTCATGAAGGACAAAAGCTACATGTTGTGATTTTCCTATGTACTATGCACCCCAGCAGAATTCGCTCTACACAAGGGTGTTCACCAGTCATTTATTGAATGAATGCTATTATTAATTTTTCTCTTTCTCTGATATATGTTAACTTTTTTTTTCCAGTATTTCTTACAGGGCGTGATAGATTGTATGTGAGAGGCATCCAGAATACAGGAATAGTATTCTGCCATCTTGTAACTTTAAGTGAAAAAGATTACCCAACATCACTGACATGTCACAATGTTCTCTATCTGCCTCAGTATTCCACAATGGAACGAATGGAGGAAGCCCTTCACGTAGTCATTAATAGTCACAGGGGTTTTGTGTCACAAGGGATCCTGCTGCCATGACCACTTCCCAGAGTGTCAGGAAGGCCTCAGGTGTTCAGTGTCGTGGTTTTAGATCCTTTTGCTTTCATCTAATCAGTACAAGATGTTGACAGTTTTTAGTAATGATTGGTTGGAAAATTCAGAGATAATAAAGTTATGCATCCAGAGTAATATCTACAGTGGAACAAAATTATAACATTTTCTGTGTCTCTAACCTTGCTGTTAGAATGCTTATTTTTAGTGAATTACTTGCTTATCAATAAATTTCATTTAAAATAGACTAAATGTTAAACACATCTACATTTTATAAAGTTTTATTGTAACTAATAAATTGTCTGCAAGTTTGAAAGACATACTCAAGTCTAAAAAAATAAAAATATAAACTCATTTTGACATATTTTTGAGGCATGTAGGTGGGTATTGAGGAATATCTCTAGAGGTTTGGTTTAATACATGCCTGAGTAATGTGTTGGAACAATCTAAATTTTAAGATTCATCAATTCACATAATTACTTATAATCAATATTGTGGTGCTAAAAATCATAGATGTAATGATGTAGATGTGATTATTTTAGTTAAACTCTGGGACCAATCAGCAATACCTGTGTACTTCTATTTTAAGATATGTGACAATGATATATGTTTTTAATCATGAAGTAAATTAATGGAGAGATATGACTGGAAACTGCAAGTTAATTCTGTGGACAGGTCTATCTTCTATCTGATATAAATTAACTTCTTTCTGTCATGTCTGTCTGTCTGTCTTTCTTTTTTCATTTTCTTCTGAGACAGTATCTTATTACATACTCCAGGCCAATCTTCATGTCACTATGTAACCTGAGATGACCTCAAACTCAGGATCTACATACTTCAGCTACCTGAGTGCTGCAATTATTGTCATGTGTCACAGCTTTAATATTAAATTTTCAAATGTGTATGCAGTTTTGGAATGACTCCTGCATTTTCTTTTCTGTCACTGAGACACATAATTCCCAACACCTATAATTTAAAGGAGGCAAGTTAATTTGACTCTTACTCAAGGCATTAAGTCCATGGTTGATTGGCTCAATATTCCATTACAGAAGGGCATTGCACAGAAAAGATGTTCAGTTCATGGAGATCAGGAGGCAGAACAAAGAGGAGGCAGCACAACACCAGACAGAAAGTAATGTAAACATTACTCATGGTCACACCTCCACAACCCAGGAAGACATACTCAGAAGTGTGCCTCACTAATCCACTTGGCACTCCCAAGCCAATCAAGTTGGCAGCTGTTTTTTATTAGTATATGTTTGTGATACATAATAATTACATTCATTTTAGGGGACTGGTATATATACAGATTGAATCTTGGACATTTTTACCTCCCTTCTTCTCACCCTCCCTTTCTTTCATTCCCCAGGGACTATGTGAACGGTCATATCCTAGCCCTGGTCAATCAAGAACATCTTGTTAAACCATACTTATGCTTCTTATAATACTAAGTTAATGTTTCACCTAACATGATACAGCTATCCCAATTACAATCAAAAATGAAATAATCACTTCCCAAAGGCTCTCCAATTTGAGCATTTTTCAAAGTCCAAGCCCAGGTCCCTCCTAGGACTCAAGGCAAACTCTTAACTGAACCTCTGCAAAAATAAAATAAAAAATGAGTTACAATGATGCAATGATACAGAGTAAAAATTTTTATTCTAAAAAGGAGAAGTAAGTGAATCATAAAAAAGAATTAGGCCCATTTTCCAGCAGGGATTGGCACAGAGGTGCTTAGAATTGTTGTAACTAGCTTTGCCAGAGAAACCTATGGGCCTGGCCCATAACCCTACATGAAGTAAAACACCTGGAAGCTGGCAATTGGCCTGTTGCAAGGAACACAGGGTAAATCCACTCTTAACAAAGGGAAACATTTTAAATACAAACTGCTAATTTACAATTTTTTGTTATGTAACTGTCGACTTTGCTCCTATAGTCTAGAGTACAAAACAAGTAGTTACCAGAGTTTATAAATTTTTTTAAATTTTGCTAGATGTTATTATTACTGCAAATCATACCATTGTAGCTAGGATATCATCTCTGTTTTATCCACTTGTTCTCCCTTTGGTAACAACACTGAGAGGCCTGGGATAACAACCTCACCAAAACGCTACATATAAAGATGGGGACAATGCCTAAGAGAAACCAAGATCCCACTCTCAATTAATGGAGAAGGTAGGAGGACAATGTCAACTGGAAGTCAAAATCCCACCCTCAATTAATTTGGAAGGCAAGATTTTGGGACAGACAGTCTCCAACACACAGAAGATATCCCTGAAGAACAGACTTCCTAGATTGATCTTGAGAGTAGTGATAGATACCGATTATCAAAATTTCACAAGGATTATCACAGAAATCAAAATAAAAGAGCTCTGGGGTCTAAGAGATTGCCTGGCAAGCACAAGGTCCCAGGTTCGATCCCTGGTACTACATATCATGCTGGCCCTGAAACCCCTTGCACACAAAGCTAGCAATCAAAACCAGGCATGGCAGCACATACCTGTAAGCCCAGCACTAGGGAGGCTGAAACAGGATCACTACAAGTCTGAACTGTATAGCAAGACTCTGCACCAAATAAATAAGTAAACAAACATCAGAATTTTAAAAAATGAAGAGTTCTGAATTAGAAAATGGCAAGTCAAAAGAGCAAAAGGCAATCTGAGGGCCCAAAGACAGAAGAAATTGGAAGACACACCCTGAAATCTCTGAAATGATTGCAACTGAGGTAAAGAAACAACTTCAGATGGATATAGAGGAAATCATATCAGAAATAATCTCTCAGGTAAAAAATGATGATTTACAAAAGTACTAGGAGAAAACTTCCCAAGCATGTGGAATCTGATAGAGATAAGCAAGCCATATAGAGCCCAAATAGCATCAACCAAAATGAATCGATATCCAGACATAATCAAGATCCCAGAAATTCAACACAAGAACAAGATATTAAAAGCTCTTAGAGAAGTAGAATAGATCACATGTAAAAGAAGCCTATCAAAGACAACTTCTACCATGCTCTTGGGACCCCTCAAGATCCAGCTCAAGCCCAGGCTCGGTAGCCCAGGCTCGGTGAGTGTGTGGGAGAGCTTCTGTGCTCCCAGTCGCCCGATGGACCCCTCCAGATCTAGCCCAGACCCGGCATGTGAGGGGGAACTACCACCATGCTCTCAGGACCCCTCCATACCCAGAACAAGCCTAGGCCTGGCAAGTGTGGGGGAGAGCTGTCGTACTCTCCTGTACCTGCTGGACACCTGCAGACCAAGCCAAGGCCCAGCATGTGAGCGGGAACTTCCAACGCGCTCACAGGACTCCTCCACATCCAGCCCAAACCCAGATCCAGCAAGTGTGTGGGAGAGCTTCCACTCTGCTCTGTGCACACTGGACCCCTTCAGACAGCCCAGACCCGGATTGTGAATGAGAACTTCCGCCATGCTCTCCGGATCCCTCCACACCCAGCCCAAGCCCAGGCACAGTGAGTGTATAGGAGAGCTTCCGCGCTCCCCTTTGCCTGCTGGATCCCTCCCAACCTAGCCCAGGCCCACTTGTAAGTGGTCCTTCTGTCCTGCTCTCTCGATGCCTCCAGACCCAGCCCAGGCCTGACATACAGGCTTGGGGTGAAACTCAGCAGCTGAAGTGCCTTCAGAGGGGCTAGGGGCAAGAACCACCCAGCTAATCCAGGAGCAGAACATCTCACGAGAGGGGCACAGCAGGTTCACTTCCAAGGGCTACAGCAGGAAGAAGCAATCAGACCCAAGGCAGACACAGCTGGATGAATTCAAACTTCATAGATCTGCACGCCCCCTGCTGCGCCCCTCTTGTGAGATGTTCTGCTCCTGGATTAGTTGGGTGGTTCTTGCCCCTAGCCCCTCTGAAGGCACTTCAGTAGGTGCCAAGGTTATAACTGCACCAAAGCTCTACAACAAAGGTGAGAGGACAGTGCGATACAAAATCACAAAGAGAAGGAGGAAAATGCAATCTCGGGCCCTGAGCCCACCCAGAACAAGGGCAGAAGACACTAGCACAGAAAAAATTGGGAATCACACAGCTGAAATGTCTGAATTAATAGTGTCTGAGGTGAAGAAACAACTGCAGAAAGGTACAGAGGAATTAAGATCAGAAATAACTTCTGAAATAAAAGAAATCCGAATACCATCTGAAGTAAAGAGTTAAGTGCAGAAACATATAGAGGAAATCAGATCAGAAATAATCTGAAGTAAAAGAAAGGATAACTATAATGAAAGAATTAATAACTGCTTCTCAAGAAGACTCTGATAAAAAATATAGAGGAGTTTAGAAAAATGATGGAATCATTCAGTGAGCAATATAGGAAAGAAATAGATCACATGAAGCAGAGTCAAAGAGATACAGAGGAAATTAAAATTTCAATCACAAGCTTGCAAAACTGAGTGAAAGTGAAGATACAGTTTCAAATCTTAAAGACTTTGTTGAAGCTAATGAAAAGTTAAGAAAAGATCTCTTTAAAACAACTAGGATGCAGGAAAAAATAATTCATCACCTGCAAGACATGGCAAAGATGAACAATGTGAGACTAATAGGCATCAATGAGAAAGAAGGAGTCAATACAAATGATATAAAAATATGGGCAGAAGTAATAGCAGAAAACTTCACAAATATGGATAAACAATCTGACACTCAGAAAACAGAAGCATACAGAATTCCAAATAACATCAAAGAAATTGAACACACACCAAGACATAACAGTCAAGATCCCAGAAATCCAGCACAAGAACAATATATTGAAAGGTGCTCGAGAAAAGAAACGTCACATTTAAAGGAAAACCCATCAGAATAATGGCAGACTTCTTACAAACCATCAAGTCAAGAAGAGCATGCAGCAGAGTACTTCAAGTCCTCTATGAAAACAAATTCCAGCCCAGACTACTATACCCTGCAAAACTCTCTTTGAAGTTTGATGGGCAGATGAAATACTTCCATGACAAAGAAAAACAAAAGAATTTCATGACGAAAAAGCTAACAGAACATCTACAATATTTAGTAGTCTAGACAGACTATTAAAAGATGTTCTCGAGAGAGCCCAAAATAATCAGAACTCCATGAACAAGAGTGGAATGAACTCACTAAGCAGGGCAAACAAAAACAGGAAAAAAAGGAGTAAACAGCAGGCAAATAACATGTGAATCATAAGTCAGTACATCTCAATTATAACCATCAATGTAAAAGGACTCAGTTCACCAATTAAAAGAAACAGACTGGTACAGTGGATTAGAAAACAAAATCCAACATGATACTGTATACAAGAAACACACTTAAATCATAAAGAACTTCATAAGCTAAAAGTCAAAGGATGGACTACACACACCATACTACACACCCCAGGACCTCAGAAAAAAGCAGGAGTAGCAATCCTGTTCTCAGACAGTCTCAACTTCACACCAAGAATGATCAAACAAAGAAGGCCATTATATACTGGTTAGGGGAAAAATTCAAGAGGAAGAGGTAACACTCATAAATACATATGCACCAAATAGACCACATACTAGTCCATTCTTAAGTATATGCAGGAAAACAAATTATCCCATGCATATTATCTGACTACAGTGCAATGAAATGAAATAAATGACAAAAGACACCAGAAAAAAACCATAAATACATGG